AACTCTATGTTCCTCCCTCTTCTGGAAGTAGGTGTTAACTAAAGCCATTTCCATCGTCTTAGCAAAGTCCACCACCATCTGTCCTTCTAGGTTCCTTCCCTTAACATCAAACCTGCCCATCACCTCCTCATCACCTTTGTTCCCCTCACCAACGTGCCCGTTGAAGTCTGCCCCAATCACCACTCTCTCCCCTCTGGGAATACTCTCCATCACCTCATCTAACTCACTCCAGAATCTCTCCTTCTCTTCTAACTCACACCCTACTTGTGGAGCATAACCACTGACTACATTCAACATTACCCCTTCAATTTCCAACTTCAAACTGATCACCCTGTCTGACACTCTTTTCACCTCTAAAACATTCCTCACGAGCTCCTCCTTCAGGATCACTCCTACCCCATTTCTCTTCCTGTCCACACCATAATAAAGCAGTTTGTATCCCCCTCCAATGCTACGCGCTTTGCTACCCTTCCACCTGGTCTCCTGCACACACAGTATATCTACCTTCCTTCTCTCCATCATGTCCACCAGCTCTCTACCTTTCCCTGTCATTGTGCCAACGTTGAGTCCCTATTCTCAGACCTATACTCCTGCCTTTTCTCTTCTCTCTCTGTCTACAAATCCTTCTACCTCCTCTCCTTTTTTGACCAACAGTAGTCCAATTTCTGCCAGCACCCCGTAGGTCAACAGAAACGGTGGCGGTCGTTGTTAACCCGGGCCTCGACCGATCCGGTATGGAATTTGCACTGATGATTCGCATGTTTAAATTTGGCATGTTTTTACGCCGGATGCCCTTCCTGATGCAACCCTCTCTATTTATCCGGGCTTGGGACCGGTACAGAAGTCACTGGCTTGCAACCCCTGTGGCTAGATTCATTCATTCATTTATTCTACATCTTGGATTTATTCATTGTAATGACCTCCTGCAGTCCACCTGCAGTACCGTCAAGGCCCACTGGGAGGCCGCAGCCCACACTTTGGGGTACACTGGTCTAGAGAATTTCAGGGTTCCAGTGCATGTCTGAAAAAGGCTTGTGTCTGTCCCATTTCATGCTTCTAGGAGCTCAGTGTGCAGGATGAGCAGTAAAGACAAGATGAACGTGCAAGATCAATCTAAAGAGAAGGGTGTTTCAGGAGACCTGGAGCTGAACGAGGAGAAAGACAGCAGCCCCGGTAAAGCAATTGCTGTATGACAGAGTGACCATGACTACTACACTGTTTGTAAATATGTGTTGCTGTGCTGATTCCTAAAAACCTTGATTCTCTTTTTCCAGAAAGCTCCACTGTGTCTAGTCCAGACACAGAGAGTGTGACCACGTCTACAGCCAGCCCTGCTGACAAGGTACTAAATCGCTGAGCACAATCCAGTATGATACACAACAGTTCTCTTACTTTTTTGATTTGTTGAGTAAATTATGTTGTGCAACTCACATGAAGCTGTAGCTGACAAAGAACTGACAGCATCTGGGGAGAAAATAATTGATGATCCAATGAAGGAGAAAATGATAGAAAACAATATCATTTAATGAGGGAAAAAAGAGTCAGAATGCACTAGGTCTAATTTAAACTGCAAGTGATGATAAATATCCCCTTTGGGAAAGTACATAGGTTTCCATCATAATACTTGCGAAACAGTTTGTTTAATCAGAGAGTTTGATCACAGATGACTTCCTTCACACCTAGCATTTCAACATGTGGACACACCCCCGATGAAGATGTGTTTGCTTTTGGGCTAGACTGAAGCATGTCAGTGTTATGGTGACATCAATCATGTTTCCCCACTAGAATTATAAATCCAAAGTTTAAATGGCTACAGCTCACTACAGTTAAGCTACCGGTGCTTGTTCTCTTCACTTATGTTGTTCAGACACCAGAGGAGAAAGATGAGGAGGAGGAGGAGCAGGACAAGGAAAGCCGCACTGCTAGAGTCCAGCCCACTCCTCAGACGAGGGATGCCACAGCTGAGAGCCCAAACACCCCTAGTGGTGACAGGCGCAAGTAAGAAACAGGATATTCATCATAAAATTTTTTTTAGTCCTACGTGTACTGTAATGAGGTTTTTTAAAATATGTATTTGAATGTTTTTTCCTTTTACATTTCATAAAAGTATTTGAATTTATAACACTTCTGTAATATATAATTTGTGGATGTTTGTGTTTAGGTTCCAGGCTCCGGTAAGAGATGAAGAGTCAGAGTCCCAGCGGAAAGCTCGCTCTAAGCGGCTGCGCCAGTCTCGCCGCTCCACACAGGTAAAGCTAACCAGGAATGGGTTTGTCATGATTTTACCAGTACTACTGCCCTTTTGAATGTTTTTTTTTGATCTAGTACTTTTCATAACTGCCAAAACAAAGAAGGAAAGTAGAACAGGATTAAAATTTTCTGTATTTTATATACAGCAATTTATTGTTTCTCAAGCTGCAACAGAAATATTTGTAACATTAAGTCACTATTTAAGCTAAATATCTCCTTGGAAACAAATCAGAATTTTAAATAAAATGAGTAATTCTTGGCAAAAACTTGCTGCAGTCAAAAAAAAAAAGAAGAACATTAATATCACTCCGCACTTCTTCATCCTAACACTGCTGATGTGGATTCACTGCTGGGCAAGTAGCACTGGCAGAAGGAGGAATGGCTGGTCTGACAGTGGGCTGTTGCCTTCTCAGCCACAGAGTGTACAAGAATGTCCAGGTTTAGTCCAAATTAGGCCAGATACATGGCAAATTAGGCTTAACAATTACATCGGCTTCTGTTTTGGCTTGTTTGTTGTTAATCTAATAAGTGTGACATAGCCACCACATATTTGTGTGGGAATGGGAAACTGCAGACACAGCAGAGCTAAAAATATTGCTTTTTATATGCTAGCTATGCTATCTTGGACCTCTGAGTTCGCTGCTGAACGCTTTGCATTGAGGTGATATTTCAGGCTTGTAGTACGCAGAGAATCATGCTCTTATCAACAGTTCCATCTGGGTGTTTTTAAATGTAACTGTTCAGTTGATGGAGCCAAGCAGCGACTTCTTGTATGCCTCCATCATGTTACCAAGCCACTGTGGCAGAACAGTTTCAATGGCGCACCAGGTCAAGTGGCACCATGGAACACGATTAATCAGTGTAATTTTTTTTAACACGTTATTTTTTTTTCTGTGATTAATTACTTGAAATTCATGCATTATTTGACACCCCTGGTTGAGGCATTACTTTCATTGGCTTTTTACTCTAAGTTTTGTTTTTTTGCACTTAGAGTTGTGCATAGTTGTGCATCATTAACTCAACTAAAGCACAGGCTCAAGCATATTGCTCTGAAACCATATTTCCTGCTCTGCTAAACTCATTCCCTGATTTCTTCAGGCTCTCACAAAGATAAGATCCAGTACAAAATTGTATATAGAAGGGTCTAAACTGAATGCATTTTTACAGTCATTCATTCTTTGTTCAGTTTTCTTCCTTTTTGTTCACTGACAAGGACCTGCAATCATTTAATAACAGTGTGAATAATTTTTCTGTCACATACTTTTTTTTCCACAACCTTTGGACTGACTGGTGCTCACTTGGCTTGTGTAATCTGCTGAGTTATGCATGCAAGCCCTGTAAATGATGATAATTATAACCATGCTGCTCACCTACTGAGGTACAAATACTGTACTATATCAGTATCTTTTCATTCACTATGAAAAGCTGCATATTTTCACCATGAAACTCATGAGTTCTTATTGCAAAGCCTGTGTGTGGTTTTGTCTTTGCTCTGTGCTGACAGGGTGTCACCCTGACTGATCTGAAAGAAGCAGAGAAGACTGTAACTAAAGCTGTGGATCCGTCTCGCAGCATCCAGCCTGTCAGCCCCATCGTGACGATCACACCTGCTGAAAGGGGTGAGTGAGGATGAAACACTACAGTGACCACGGTGAGCTGTGCATTCCAACATTCAGCACGGACTTTGTTTGTATAACCAGTCGAATCAATTGTTGTAGACAAATGTCTGAACAACTCTTTGGTCAAATGCATTGTCAACAATATGAATAGATTTTATAAACAGTATATTGTGCTGACAAACATATAGGCTGATAAGTACTGAACAGAAAAGTTTGAAGAGCCCATGGTATACTTTTCTTTGATTTCTGCCTTATCTACAATGTTACAGCAGTGAATTATCATCTTAGACACGACCTAAAACTCAAAAAATTAGGTGTTCGTATGTTGTAGTATTTCTATGCAGCAACAACTCAGTTTATACACGTATCACAGACTCGCGCTTGCGACTTTTTTTCTAATGAAATAAAGTATTACGTGATAGTTTAAGGATTTCCTTGAATGGCCATAATCTCCAGGCAGTTGCGCGTTCATGTCAGCTTGCCTGACATCCACCAGTACCATTGTAAAAGCGGCATTTTTTGATTGAGCCTGGTTTTGTGGATATATTTTACCTCCTGCTGCTGCACTGTGACCAGAGGATGTGGAAAAAAATACAGGGCCTGAGGTTACTGCATGTTCGGGAATGTTCCTGTACAGGGACTTGTTGCTTTACTTGACTGGGTCTCACCTACAAGCAGCTGCCAGTGAGGCCCCCCATGGTGGTGAATGATCAGCTCAATGCTGGATTCCCCCGGAGCACAGTACCTGTTTCTTTTGATTGCTTGAGGCCAGTGTGTCAGCCCCATGTGATGTGATGCAGGTTAACGAGAGAATTAATGACCCATGATGTTATTGTTGGTGCTACACTACCTGTTGGAATTAATTTCACTACTTTGGGACTGTATGTGGTTGTGTTGTTGAAGAAGTGGTGACCACCGGTTGGATTTACCGACCTTGGAGCTACTTGAATAGGAGTGATGTTTCTACTACTCGGTGGGACTTAACAGTAAGTAAAAAAAAAAGCGCATGTTGCATGTCTGTTAATGCCTTGTTTCTATAACGTTGGAGAGAATTGTAGTGAGGCTGGAGAAGTTACTATGTCTGCATTATGCCAGTTAAAATATGGGGTTTCTCAGTTACCTGCTTTGTTTAGAGTATTACACATCTGTATTCATCGGTACATATACTGTTGTTTACCTATCTATGGCGGAGAAAGTCAAATTAATTAATGCCGTTGCAGTTCATTGTGCTGTCCACGTTCATATTCTGGCTCCAACATGTCAGGTAGGATTTCAGGTGTTGTCATTATCAAAAACATAGATTATTTGTCAGTGTTTTTGGTCTCCCAGCGTGATGTACTTTCCCGGTTCAAAACTCGGTTTCATGTAGCGGCCCCCTCAGTAGTTGTGGTTAGGATAATTAATGGTGAAGCAGATTTCGACACAAAACCAGCAACAGCAGTTGTGCACGTTCACAAACTATCCTCTTGTTTTTAGGAAGAGGCTCTCAAATTATTTCAGAACAATAAAACCACAGACTATTTGGAGTTATGAGGGGTGCAAAGCTAATCTAGAGGTACCCAAGATTAAATGGCTGAAAATGAGCATGCCATGGGCTCTTTAAGGTATCATAGCAAACATAAGGCAACCATTGGTTGCCTTATGTTTGCTGTGTGGCTAGTCTAATTTTTGTTTACTTGAAGTACAAGACTACCAAATAAAAAGCAGATGTACTCAGCAGGTTCTGGGTGGAGTACTGTTCAGGCACGTAAAGGAAATGAGGTTTTTCTCACAAGCACTAAGGGCTACTGCTGAGAAGTGTCGAGCGTTGGTGGTTGTGTACATCTTCTTTCTTTTTTACTGTGTAATTGTGACCTCTTCCCACACCCGGCTCAATTTTTTTTTTTTTGATGTGGAACTGAGTAGTTCCCCTTCTGACATGTCTCCTGCTATGTTTAGACACATCAGGTCAGTAACCACATCAAGTTAGCCTGCTGCAGCATTAGCTCTCAAAGCTTCACTGAACTCATTACTCCCAAACCTCAGTATGCAGTTATCTGGAGTAGAGACTGAAGAGAAGTCAGCTTCCTTTATCATGCAGAATTACATTTAGAAACTGATCTACCTTTTGCATAATTACTTAGATCAGTTCTGAAATAAGCTATAGCCTCACTGAGAAAAGCTCTTTTGTGTTACATGTTATTTGTACTCATTTGAGTCTTCACAGTGGCATGAGCCATTGCTTAGTTAAGTTTTTGCTCAATCAAAACTCCCACACACTTCACAAGTGTTGTCTGTGTGCCCCCATGTGCATTTCAGATACAGACCCAGTAAAACAGGTGGAGTCAGATGGAGAGAAGCGTCTGGGAGTAAAGGACAGGAGGAGAGTGAGGAGGGAGAGACGCTCCACTGGCATCGTTCAGCCCGGAGAAGAGGCAAGAACCAGCACAAACATGGCAGAGTTCATTCTTTCACTGAATATTCTGAGCTGGAAAAGAGAGGAGCTTTGCTGGAAGTCATGATTATTTCAGCTTATTCTGTTTGACATTGTTCTTTGTCATATTTAAGAGTTGGTTGTACTGACCTAGCAATTTGAATATTTTACCTCAGCATTTAGTAAATTTGACTGTTTTCTAACATTTTAAAGAGAATTATTATTAATTAGTGGAGAAAATAATTGGCAGATAAACCTATAATAAAAATAAACATTAGTTGAAAGCCTCAATCTCAGGTTTGACTATAACGATTTATACCTTAATGAAAAGCTGGACCAAGCAGATACGGTGCTACCACTTCTAACTGAGCTGTGTAGCTGAACGTGAACTCTCTGTTGTTCAGAATGAAGAGGAGGATGCCCATCTGGATGATATAAACAGTAACAGCCATTCCAAGTGAGTCTTACTCTTATGATACTTGAGCCCTGTGACATTTTTCAAATTTCACATGTTGCAGAGATGAGTCAAGAAAACAATTATTAGGTTTGGGGCTTTAAAAAAAAAAAAAATCTATTCATTGTACTTTTCCATTTAAAAAAAAAAGCTGGGTTTGGGGGTTTGGTCATGTTATAAATTATGTTACTTATAAAACTGGAAGGACTACAGGGTTAGATTGTTCTGGCTGTGTTAATACAGTCGTAGAAATTTGTATGTTCACCTGCTGGTTTGTCATGAAGTTCTCGACAAAAGTGTATATTATTTCCAGAACATAAAAGTAAAGGGCATGTTTATATATGTATAACCCTGTGGTTAAAATTCTCTTGTGCTTCTCTACAGTGCGAGTCAGCTGGGAGACTCATCTGCTGACTACAGAACGGTTCGTGTCTGACCCTGTCCTCATACATAAACACACCAGAGAGCTGAAGATGAAGTGTACCTGACAGTTAGACCAAACAGGACAGGAATGATCCCCATCAGGCTCTAGATAGAGAGAAGAAAGCAGAAACCCTGTGCACTTGTTGAGCTTTAATCTTCATGTTGTTTCCCTCTAGCTGTACTTTAAGGTACTGCAGGAGAACCTGGCCCTGAAGGACAAGATGCAGGAGATGGAGCTGCTGCTGAGCCAAAATAAAGTGGAGCTGGAGAGACTCCGACAGGTTCGGCAGGTTTGCTACTGCCTCTGACTTTTAAGAGGGTGTGGGTGTGTGTGTGAGAGAAAGAAATTATGAACAGAGGGATGTTCAGAGTGTAGACGTTTGAGCCAGCCGTAGGAAGGAGAGCACACAGACACGAACAGCAGCAGAAATCATCCCTTAATTGTTGTTTCATTTTGTGTAGGTTTCAAAAGCTGCACATAAATAATCTTTTCTGTTAAGACTTGTCAATAATATAACTTGCAGGTTATACTTTGATCACATCTAAAAATTGAGCTTGTTGCTCCTTGTTAAGTATCGCTGTCATGTTTTGAGACTGCTGGATGTTATTTTGAAATGAATTCTTTAATTCGGGATCTGTTAAAATTCACTCTGTAGTCACCTGTTTGATAAATAAACACTGTTTCGCTGTGTGGCAGAGTCAAGAGAGCGGCACATACAGACCGGCCCTGCTGGAACTGGAGAGATTTGTAAGTCTGTCAGTCTGTGTATACTGTGTACTTAAATATGCAGTAAATATTTCTGCAAGCCGAATTACCTTATGTAGGAATGCAGCACATTTTTTTCAGTCTACTAGTTGAAGCTTTTTGGTGTTTTAAATTGGCTTTCGTTTTCTGTTTTTGAGTTGTGACTTCAAACAGTAACGGGCTAGATGTACTTTGTGCATACCCTCATGTATATTTAGACGTGGATGGGAGATGCACACATGTTCCTAGTAATACTTTAAATCAAGGGTCTGCCTTCTGTCTGCATGCACCACTGTGTTCAAAGCATTGTGCTACATGTGCAGTTGGGGCTTCTACTGTGCAAACTGCATACAGACATCCGCGTGGACCCTCGCGGACCTGGGAAGATTGAAAATTATGTCACTCAACCACAATGGACATGTGGGCACACAAAGTATAAATAGCCCTTAAAGTTGTTGGTTGAACTGTTCTTTATCTTCACTGTGTATTTGACATTGGTCTTACCTTTGAGTCACACCTAACAGAATGAGTCCATGTTCTACACATGTAGAAGAGCAGAAGCCAAGCTGAACATACAGTATAGAATTGTTCCACTCTTGTGTTGACAGGAGAAGTTGGCCCTCCAGAGGAAAGCAGTGGAACTGGAGGATGAGCTGAAGGTACACATGTTCATTTTTACACAAATATACTTGTGTACTGAATTAACTGCAGTGATGTGACGCTCTGACCCCAAATGATTTATAGAGAGCACAACAGTTACACAGGCGGTACTGCAGTCAGAAACTTGTGCTTAAAAAGTACTATTTGGAAGAACTGGGGTTATTGGTTTTATTGTAGGTGTTAAGTAACCTGTTTCTCCAGGGTCCCACATAAAGTAGTCGGAAACAAACTCAGAACCATTTCAAAATAAAAGTAAAAATAAATAAAGAAAACAAAATGACTGACAAATATACAGTCAAGACAGTATACAATTGGTTGCAAGTCCATCACATCAAGACCAGTTTGTCTGATACAACAGTCCCATTGAAGTGCATGTTTAATGGTACCTGTGGGGTTGTTGCTCTGTCACTGGCTCAGCTGTGGAATAAACTTAGAATCATGTGAACTCCAACCCCACTGAGATTGCTTAACCAAAGACTAAGAAATTACTGCTATGACCCATATTTATAAACCAACCAGTCAGAATACGACATGACGTGGAACACACTGGCAAGCTTGCATAATATTCCTATAAAAACAGATTATGTCAGTGTCACTTTGATAAACCATAGTACAATTTAACATGCATTCATCACGTCTGATGTGTGACACAGATTACAACCAGGGCTGTGTCCAAAATGTGCAGTGTATTTACTGTCCGCCACTGTATTTCTTTAGTTCTCAGTGTGTGAATCTATGGCTGCATTAAATTTATCTACTGTATAGGCCCTCCTACAATGGAAAGAAAAAGGTGCTGTCCATGATATGTGAACTACTTTTCTGCAAAGTAGGGGCAAAAATTATGCAGTCATGTCCATTTGTATGAAAAGTATAGGCTAAGAAAAGTTTTAGTAATAAGAATATAAATAATATAACGTGTTTTTAGCCGCTGAACTGGAAAGTTAGAAATCTGACAGCTGAACGCTTTTCAGTTACCTTTTCACAGAGCTGTACCATTATTTTGCCACATTTCTCTGAATCACCTGTGTGAGGCATAGGGTGCTTGTAGTGCTGACAGTTGTGGTGTGAAGATGCGGACATTTAGCTAATCACTAAAAATAAATCACCAATCAAATAAAAACACCCCTGTTTAATGTTTCTTTAGGTTTTGGGAGACCTCAAAGCAGACAACCAGAGGCTCAAGGATGAGAACGCTGCTCTCATTCGAGTCATCAGCAAACTCTCAAGATGAACCTGGAAGAAAACCCTACCCTGGAAATAAAAAAAGAAAAAAAAAAGTATTATAGGATTTATCTTTTGCTCGACTCAGAAGACACAAACCAGCAGGAGAGGCGCAGCATCAGACACCTGCAAAGCACATTCAACAGTTAGTGGAACAACGGGGATATCAGGGTTATTAGCCAGTGTCTGGGCCCTTGTTTTGGCAGATCTACTGTAGAACAAACTGAACTGTGGACTGACAGGATGTTCCTGTTCACATCCACTTTTATATTAAGTTTTTACTGTTGTATTTTTTTAACTGGAATATTTTGTGCTTTGCTCCTGTGATACTTTGTATGAAATCTGTATTAAGAGACTTAAAAGCCATGCACAGATAGCTTTCTTCACCTCCTAAGGGGTGGAGAAATAAAGACCTGACAGTTATGTAGGGAGTGGTCATAGAGAAAGGAAAAAACTGTGCCAAAAACCAGCCCGTTTCGCATGTCATTTGGGGAAAACTCAGTGGTCAGTGTTCTTTCTCAGGATGAGTCTGGCTTGATGCTGACCATTTTAGTTAACGTCTGTAGAGGTGGACCAAATTTGCATGCTCATTTCTCCCTCTGAATGTATATTTAAGCACGGGGGCCGTCTGTCCTGACAGTGGTGTAAAGGTGTAGCCATGGTTACTGTTGTACAAAGTTACGGAAAGTTTTAGGTGCTAGTCACAGGCGTCAGGCGCAGCTCGTGTTCAAGGGGATTTTTACAGAAAGTGTTTGTGATAAATGTCACACCTTTTCGAGTGAGCATGGAGAAAATGCTCTGTTCTTAGTACTGTAAGTTGCTACTAATTTCACTTTGCCATTTTTTGACTGGATGCTTCTGAAAGCAACAACCCCAGGCCTAAACCCCCATCTATTTATCTTGTGACGGACGGCTGTTCTTGTTCAACAGACAGGCCTGATGGGTCGCCTTCTGAATGTTTACTCTAGTCTTAAAAGAAAAAAATGTGCATGGCAAGTTGTATTTTGATGCTGTGCCTTTCAATATACATTTGTAATATTTCTATTTTGCTTTGGCAAATGTACACTTAAGTATAAAATATAGTATGGGTGTAAATTATTAAGATTCTTGTTTTTGTGATTGATTTATTTTTTAGAAATCACTAAACATTCAGCCCAGGCAGTATATTTGTCATGGAGGACCACAGATGCCATGGAAATAATAGATTTCACTAATTGAACAGCAAAAACAAATTTATATTTTAATGGGAAGTAATTATGAAGACTAATTTACAAATGATAACTACTTCAATTTAAAGGGCAAATTCCCCATTAAATAGTGGAATTTCAAAATCAATTTGAAAATGGTTTTAAAAGGGAAAGATTTGAATTAGTAAAATATTAAGATCTTAACAGTTTTCACAGCCTGAGTAATGGCCTTCTCCTCATGGGAAGCAAACTGAACTTCATGTGTAAAATTGGAGGTGTCCTTTTGTTACCAAATAACTCAGGACTCCTGCTTGTTCAGGTAAAAGCAGTGCTCCTTATCCAGTGTTAGAGGACAAGTTGAGCAAAATCTTTATTGACTGAGAAGAGCAATCACAAATGATGATAGAATATACAACCCCACCAGCATGCCAGCATTTTCATAGAAACTGTACAATGTGAAGGAATGTATGGTGCAGGAATACACTATCAACAGGAAAAAAGTTTTACATCCATATGTTCTGGTACAGTACAAGTTGATTTCAATGTTGTGTTAGTTGTCAGTGTTTTAAACCCTCCTCTCTCATTAAATACTGTTTCTGTTGTAGTGTCACTTAACCCTTCATGTGACGGATGTGTCCTTCTGAGAGGGTCACTGGGTAAAAAGGCTGAAACCCTGGTCAGTTTTCTCTTCAGTGCCAACGTCTGTCTTTCTGTCTGGGGGTGAGCCCAGACACCGTTGAGGTCTCCAGCAGCAGTAGACGGTGCCTGACTCCTCCCTGTGCTTTCTCTGCTGCTACTCCTCCACACTTGGGCTCTCCTGACTGCTATGTGAACAAGCAGGGGTCTGGGAAGGGGGATGTACATTAAGGCAAAGGGGAACCTAATTCAAAAAGACTACATTAGTAATGCTTGTTGTTTTTCGCCATGTTATCAGTTAGTGCTAAGGCCTCATGGGCTACAGATAAGTTGGTAGCGAGAACAAGCCCTTGATATACAGACTACCTGGTAACACGCACTGCTCGTACACACAAGGCATACTAAATAAGTTTAGACGTGAGCTGACATAAGGCAGCTTTTTGATTACCCTTACACTGTATACTCCCTTATTCACTTTGGCCCAAGTCCCTGTTGGAAAGGGAGTGGGTGACTACATTAGGGAAGGGAGCGAGGTGCCCTAGAGCAGCTCTGAATGAAATGTTTTTACAAGGCAGGTATTGGTAATTATATCAAAAGACAGCAAGCAAAGGAATGCTGAATGTAGCACAGCGGATCAGGTGGATGTGGTGGGGCCTGCTATGAACACGAGCTGATTAACAGTGATGTGAATACAGTCACATTACACAACCATTGATACAATTATATAAAAAAGGCAAACAAAAGTTGATTGTACAGTTGCTTTTCCACATGTATGTACTTCATACTGAGAGAGGAAGACACCGTTCTGGAGAGGTGGAAAGCAGGGTTAATCTCTTCAAGCAGCAAAAAAAACAAGGAGACAAAATAAAAGAGGGCCTGGGAGTGAGGGAGTAAGGTGCTACATGGCACAGCTCAGTGGGGGTGCACAAGTGAGGATGACAGGTTGGTGAACAGAGGCAGCTCGTGTGCGTCGCACTGCATGGGTTCCGATGCCGACACAGGTGGGTCAGACACCAGGGTGTTAAAGACAGCCAGGCGAGAACTAAGGCATGAGAACATGAAATGCACAAGAAAGTAAAAACAAAGGCAGAAATGGTGGACACAGGGCAGGGATGAGGGGAGCGGCTGAGGGAGTTAAGTTCCCTCGCCCCCCTCCCCCAAACACAAAGGCCTCTTTTAGTCTTTCCAGTCTTTCTTAATGTTGAGGTTCCACTCCCAGGACAGGTGGTCGTGCTTGTCGTCGTCAGTAAACTTGGATTTGATGACATAATTGCCGCGGGCCAGTATACCTTTAGGAGCCTCTTCCATCGTGGTCAGGAAGTCATATTCATTTGGACGTGGCCCGTAGCTGCCCACCATGTAGTCTGATTTGTCAACTGTTCAATGAAAATGTGTAAATGGCAGTTAGTTTAAACCATGGGCCAGGTTTTAGTTTTTATCTCAGCCCTAATGTCATAATTTCCTTAGCTCGTGTTCTACCATTTGGCAAACAATGGCTCAGGAACACGACTGTAACACGTTGCACTTTGAGAGCAGAGCTGTCACTGATTCTTTGACCTGCTTCATTGATGGCTGGATCAAGTAGTTACTGGCACAGGTCGGACGTCAAACAGGCCAAATGATATTTACCTGTGTTATTTATCTTTAACTACTGGACTTCGTGTCCACACCATGCAGTGTTCTGCTGGCCTCCCATCATGGTGATGCATTACTAGTTACAAGGTTTATTCATGGTCTGATGGTATGAAAAAAATCATGTGAATAATTTTTATGTAAAATATGAAAGGGAAGATTTCAGTTTTATTGGACGGCTGAATTTGAGCCACTGTATACTATATCCTTATTTGAATATTAGTTTATTTTAGTTGTAATTGAAAAGGACCACACGCAGACTTGCTGTTTTCTTTATTCTAGCAACACCATGCTGAATTTAGCCCAGTGTTTCAGCTCATGCCCTCATACTAAACTTTGGGGCTGTGTCTGTGGACAGTTTCAAACAAATCAAGAGAAACAGTTCACTCACTCTTCACTCCTTTCCTGTACGTCTGCTGAACATACTTCAGACCCGAAACAATCTCCCTGATCACCTGAGGAGACAAATACTGTTCAAGAGTTTTGCCACAATAACATTGTGTATTTTGGTAATAATCAGGATTAGATATGTACAAATACTTGCTGGTGTTAAAATCTACTATTACTTTCCGAGCTTTTCTAATTGCTGCCTCAGCCTTGTTGGTATTACAAGTTTTTGCCTCAGACACACTGGGCTCTGCATAAAATACTATACTGTTCATATCAAAGTATATTTTCTCAGAAAGCAACAAGTTACTTTCTTTACCATTCAAACGTAGTATATGCTGTAATGACATTATGGTAACTCCTGAAAACATCATCTGTGTTGAACTGAATTAGTTCAGAATGACATATTGGGACAATCAATTTCATAATGGCAGCAAATAAATGTATTTATCTGTAGCTACAGCTGCTCACCTTAAAGCTGATCTTTATTTTGTATTCAACCCCCTCCTTCAGAACAAATGCCTGCTTCTTCAAGGCTTCCAGGTCGCCTGATAGGAAACGAAAAGAAATGCATGAATTTAAATCATCATGGTTACAGTGATGTTATCATTAGGAACCTCCAGGACAAAATCCAACAATACCAAGTCAATATTTTGTACTCTAGTCAAGTCAAGATTTTTATTTGCCATTTATGCATAAACAGACAGTCTAGGCATATAGGAACCCTTGTGCAGCTCTCCTTTGGAGTCAGGTAAGGAGTCAAAAGCCAGAAAGAACACTTAGTCATAAATAAGTTACATAAAGGCGACAAAGCATTAAATCCGGCAATACACAAAAATACGCTATTAGTATTTTCCCCAGTGAATTTTAAACATCGCACTTAGTAATTCACATGGTGGAGTTGGATATGTCATTACGCTTGGTGAGGTAGTGAGGGGTTATTGCACATATATTCTCACATTTTTGTATTTGCCATCAGTCTTACTGCGGCAGGGAAAAAGCTGTTGTAAAGTCTTGTTCTGTGTGTGATGATACTGTCCGCTCTGCTGTGGCTGAGGCTGTAGGTGCAGTTTTTGTGTCTGAGCAGGGAATGAGCTGGGTGGCGTAAGTCCCTGATTATGTTCTCTGCCCTTTTACGACAGTGCTGTGTGTACAGTGTGTCCATAGCAGGCAGTTCAGTCCCAGTGATCCTCTGCAGTCTTTATGACCCTTTGAAGAGCCTTCCTCTCTGCCTGTGTGGTGTTACCATACCAGACTGTGATACCAGTAGTGAGGATGCTCTCTACCAGCCCTCTATAATCCTGGGTGAGGGGTCCACGGTTCAACCCAGCTTTTCTGAGCCGCCTGATGAATTATAGCGGCTGCTGGGCTTTCTTCACTGTGGCAGCTGTGTTCAGTGACCAGCTCAGGTCAGATGTCACCTGCAGGCCCAGGAACTTGGAAC